ACTGAGGTGACTTTCATGGCTCAGCTGGGACCTACCATGTAGTCACATAACATGTAAGAGTTGCAGCGGCTGCTTCAACTCAGGCTGCTCACCCAACTCTGTGAGCAGATGAAGAACTTCCCGCCATGCATGGCTTTCCTTCCTCACCCAAACAAGGCCCTTCCTTCTGCTCTTTGTGCTTTCAAATGACTAACGCCAATTTCCAGAAAATGATCGTTTGAACATAGCTGTAATCCTGTCTAACCTGACCTTTCTCCACACTAACGTTTGATTTCCCTGTGCGGGATGTTTTCTTGAGGGTTCCTGCTTTAAAGCCTGGGGCACGCAGGTGATTTGGGAAATGTAGGCGCACCTGAGTAAACGGGCCTGTTATAGTTGAACATCATCACAGTGGATCCTTTTGGAAGCTTTAACTAAACTAATTCCGCTGTCCTTTTTATTTTTTTTAAGTAATATTTTTCTTTTATTGTTTTAATTAACAGTGACATAGTTTGAGTTTTGAAACTTGCATGAAAACATGTTAGCCCCCTCAAATGTTCCTGCAGTTTTGAAATTCATGCCACAGAAGTAAAACGCTAGAAGGGTAGTTGATCGGGCCCCAGACATGGACGTGGTATTTCAAAGTGGTGGCGAGGTGTACCCCTTATAGCATAGACGTCGTCTGTTCTTTGTCCATGTGTTAAGGAGGGCCACCAAGTCCCTTCTTTTGTTTGTGATTCCTAGACTTTTCCTGAAGAGCTTTAGCTGGCTCTCTAGGGCAGTAGGAGGGCCACCATCCTCACGGGCAGAACCAGATACACTCCTACTGCGAACAAGAAATGCAGGATCACTTCCTCACTATTCTCTGTGTTATTATATTACATAGTATAATGAGACACTATCAGACATAAACATGTAATGACAATACATTATTAACGTTCTTGTAGGAGTGGTTATAGAAGCTGATGCCTCATTTCTACATCCTGTCATTAGCTACTCTCATCTAACGTTTCATTGTATCCTTAAAAGAAATAAAGCAGCATATCAATAACTCGCCTCCTGCCTTTTATTTCATTCTGTCTGGTGGATAAGGTGATATGACTGAGATGTCTGAGTGACATCTTTCTTTACTTCAAGGATATACTCAGTTCAGTACATGGAACAAAGGAATTACAAACAAAACAAACCCTTTATACTACTTGGATTCAGTTTAAAAAAA